CACTTATTGGGATTTTTTAACCAAAAACATGTAGCAGAATACATTTTGGCCTAAATTTATGATGAAATTTTAGTTTTTTTGGATATTTTTTATGACAGAAATGAAAAAATATTGTTTTTAAAAAAAAAAAAATTCTAAATTTTTTTGTTTATAGCGCCAAAAATAAAAAGCGCACAGGTGATCAAATACCACTAAAAGAAAGCTCTATTTGTGTAAAAAAAAAAAAAAAGTACATCAATTTCATTTATGTACCATATTGCATGACTACGCAGTTGTCCGTTAAGCTAGTGCAGCGCTGTATAGCAAAAAAAGGCATAAATTGCAGTATTTATACCATAGTTTGTAGATGCTATAACATTCACAAAAAGCAATCAATATACACTTATTGGGATTTTTATTACCAGAATACATTTTGGTCTAAATTTATAACTAACTTTGAGTTTACTATATTTTTTTTATAGCCGAAAGTAAAAAAATATAGTTTTTCTTCAAAATTTTTGGTCTTTTTTTGTTTATAACGCGAAAAATAAAAGAGCATAGGTGATCAAATACCACCAAAAGAAAGCTCTATTTGTGTGAAAAAAAGGACATAAATTTGCAATTATCAGTTGAATTAGTGCAGTGCCAAGTAGCAAAAAGAGGGCTGGTCATTAAGGGGAGTAAATCCTCTAGAGGGCAATTAGTTAAGGACCTTCTGTGGCCCTGTCCAGCTCTCCTAGAGTAGCTGCCTGTCTCCTGGAATCTCCTCCATACTCTTGAAACCTCTGGCAATGGCACGTATTGATGTGCCATCCTGGAGGAGTTAGACTGTCTGTGCAACCTCTGTAGGGTCCAGGTATCGCCTCATGCTACTGTGAGATGGGGAAACAGCTTTCATTGTTTGAACACTGATTGAAGTAAATTAAAAACGTTCTGACTGACATTCTGCAGTTTGGCCACAAGATGTCACTGTTTTTGGGGTGGGGTCTGACACTTGGAGAGTAAACAGGAAAAGAAGAGGCGACTGCAGCCATGTTTTTGGACGATGCTGAATGCAGGAGCCATGTTCTGGAGAATGCTGAATGAAGGGGCCTTGTGAGCTGCAGCTGGGTGAAGCTGATGAGATTGCTGCCAGGAAGCTGATGAGAGCCGAGGAACGACGCAGCATACACTACAATATTGCAGGCCTGTTAGAGAGACATTTGTTCTGTTCAGAGTCACCAGCGGATGAAAATCAGACCCAGGTCGGTAAGATCGTGCACGCACCTCATGTTAGTGTTGGCGCCTATAGGACTGTGTCAGGCCACAAGTGTTGTTACTGATCATTGGAAGGACTCCACAACTTAAAGTGACACTTCACATTGGAGAGCTGATAAAATCCTACAAACTCTAGCCAGACTGGCATTTTGCTCAGAAGGAATACTCAGGCACGTGCCACAGGGCCAGTTATGGGAGGGGGAATACTGTAGATTTGTGTAAGATTGTAAGCTGTTGTGCTGCACCGCAGGCTAGCCCATACCATACACCCATACATTGATTCTTGTTCTTTTAGGGTAATAACAGGTAAGGTGTGGCAGCTTAGTTGTGCCCGCCAGTAGGTAAATTACTTTACTTTCTACCTTCATCCATCAGAAGGCGCCATGCTGTGCAGCACAAGGGTCTCAGCCTTTGGGCTGGGTGTATGTAAATTTGTTGTATATTCCAGCATTTGTGGTTTTGTTTATTTGCCACATCTAAGTAAAATTCTGTTGTGACAAAAGATGGTGTTGGGGTTGCTTTCCTCGTTCGTGACTTCACTGTATCCTGGGGAGCCCACCCCTGTACACGGCTTACACTACTATTAGTGATACTGACCCTAAACAAATGCAATACTAGTGAAAAATAGACAGAAAGATGAGTAGGGAAAAAAATGTCAGTGGCCTCCACCTGTAAAACCATTCCTGTTTTGGGGTTCATCTCATAGTTGCCCATCTAGTGCACTGTTTCATTAACACCAAAGCAGCTGAAACTGATTAACAACCCCCCTCTGCTACTTAACTGACCAGATCAATATCCCAGGAGTTTAATTGACTTGATGCTATACTCTGATTAAAAAGTGTTCCATATTTTTTCTGAGCAGTGTACTTCCTTATCCGTATTATTATTATGTACTGTAATTATGTATTTAATTATCTTAATTCATTTATAATTCATTCATAAAGATATATAAATTCCGTATGGAAATTAGAAGGTTAAGATATTGTTGTTGCAGTGGTTATAATGTAATACCTTAAGTATTCATTGCCATAATAACATGGATTTTATGGATGGCTTCTTTGTTTACAAGTTTGCAGGTACAGTGCTAGAAAGCTAGTGATGTTTCCATAGTTACATGTAAATACTTGCCACTATTTAGCCCCAGCCATCACCCAGCCCCATTCCTGAAGTATCATGTGATCTATGACCAGGGGGGTGGACTGACCATTGGGAAACTCGGGCACTGCCAGAGGGCCCGGGGTCAGTAGGGGGCCCCATGCGATGTCCCTGGTACCTTTCTTAGGCTTTTTTGGGTGTGGTTTGAGTGTGGGCGAGGACACAGGGGCCTCATGATCCCCTATTGCCCGGGGGCCTCATGAGTTGTCAGTCCGCCCCTGTCTATGACACAACGTGTCGCATGCAGCCGAGTGGCGTCACTTCTGGTGCGGAGTGAAACCGGAAGTGGGTGAGAATTGCAATTTCTGGCGTACTAGATGTTGATTTTAGACATGCTGCTTTACAGATATTAAGTTCAGTGCAATTCTTTTTTAAAGAAAAAATACCTTTTCAATACCGTAAGCTAAGTATGAAACCGCAATAACTACAGATAATATGATCAAAGCTGTTGTGCTGTGTGAAGATGTAAAAGGAGGTAACTTACTGGTGGATTCAGTGATGTAACTGGGGTCTCAAACCATCAATAAAGGTATAATAACTTGAAGCTACTGTAAATAAAAGGGTAAGCACATCTAAAAATAAAGTTTTTAATTTTTGGTAGTGTTCTGGACATTAAGCCCCGGTTCACACTGATGCGGTGCGGAATTTGCAGCGTTTTCTGTGCGAATTCCGCACTGTATCAAAATTGCATCCTGTTCATGCGAATCGCCGAGGGTGTGTATGTTAAGTGAACAACACCCAGAAATTGGTCCGCAAAACATGGTGCGATGTGCAGAATCGGATCGCATAGGTGTGAATACCCACACGATCCAATTCTAGTGCAGACCCAAAAAAGGGTCCTGCACCTTTTCGGTGCGGGTACATTGCCATTAGAGCCATACAAAATATATGGCTCCGATTGCACCGCACACAAGGTTCCTGTGCGAATCACCTGTGATATACCTCACCGCATAAATGTGAACCCAGGCTCATACTGAAAATGTTATGAATAGGCAACTCCTATCCTCATATTGTTTAGAGGTTACAAATAATAACTACTGCAGTAGGGAACAGACCTAAAAAGATACACTCAGCACTGTTCTGTTTATTTGGCGCATGTAAACTGTACATGAAGTGTGTGTGTGTGTGTGTGTGTGTGTGTGTGTGTGTGTCAAAAAATTTGAATATTGTGCAAAAGTTCATTTATTTCAGTAATGCAACCTAAAAGGTGAAACTAATATATGAGATAGACTCATTACATGCAAAGCAAGATAGTTCAAGCCATGATTTGTCATACTTGTGATGATTATGGCTTACAGCTCATGAAAACCCCAAATCCACAATCTCAGAAAATGTTTCAGGTGTTTTTTGCTTTATTTAGCAGAAAATAAAAAATTCTGTGGTGATTAAATAACACCAAAATAAATCTCTATTTGTGTGAAAAAATGATAAAAATTTCATATGGGTACAGTGTTGCATGACCGCGCAATTGTCATTCAAAGTGTGATAGCACTGAAAGCTAAAAAGTGGCCTGGGCAGGTATGGGGTATAAGTGCCCGGTATTGAACTGGTTAAAAAGTTCTGACATAACAGGCTTTATGTGAAAAAAATGAAATGGTCATGAGAAACGAGTTCTTGGTGTCCAACCTTTTCTGTTACAACACCTACACCGCTAGGGAGCTTCATCAGCCATGGGATTTGCACCCATAATGACAAGCTATTGACAGGAGCCATGGAATCTTCCAGAAAGTGTATGGCTACTACACACAGCAACCACTTCAGACTCCAGTCATTGTAGAGCAGGTTTAAGGGTATGCAAACCCTAACAATTAACTTCTTTTATTTGGTCCCTTTTAGTCTGATAAATATATTTAACCACTTGCCTACCGACACTTATACCCCCTTCTTTACCAGGCCAATTTTCAGCTTTCAGCACTGTCGCACTTTGATTGACAATTGCGCGATCATACAAGATTGTGCCCATATGAAATTTTTATAATTTTTTTCTTACAAATAGAGCTTTCTTTTGGTGGTATTTAATAATAATAATATAGCGAGCGCTTTTAAACGTCAGAAAGCAGCTTGCATAAGATCAACCTCTAAAATCCTTAACGTAAATGAAATAAAAAAATGAGCGCTGCATTTTTTTATATCATTTTGGTGGTATTTAATTGCCGCTGGGCACTTTACTTTTTGCGCTATAAACAAAAAAAGTGCAAAAAATGTGAAAAAAAAGTTTCTTTTGTTTCTATTATAACATTTTTGAAACAGGTAATTTTTTCTCCTTCACTGATGTGCATTGATGAGGCAGCACTTATTGGGCACTGATAGGCAGCACTGATAGGCGGCACTGATGAGGTGGCACGGATAGGCAGCACTAATGAGGTGGCACGGATAGGTGGCACTGATAGGCAGCACTAATGAGGTGTCACGGATAGGTGGTACTGATAGGTGGCACTGATATACAGCACTGATAGGTGGCACTGACTGGCGCCACTGCTAGGCACTGACTGGCGCCACTGCTGGGCACTGACTGGCGCAACTGCTGGGCACTGACTGGCAACACTGACTGGCAGCACTGATGGGCACTGGTGGGTGGCACTGGTGGGCACAGGTGGGTGGCACTGCTGGGCACAGGTGGGTGGCACTTCTGGGTGGCACAGGAGGGTGCACTGCTGGGCACAGGTGGGCGGAAATTGTGGGTGGCACTGCTGGGCACCGATCATCAGGGCACTGATCATCACTGCCCTGATGATCGGTGCCAATCCCTGCTCTGACAACTGCCGGTTCTCGGCAGTACTTTCCTCATGTTCTGAGGAAAGTACAGCTGAGAACCAGCAATTGAATTTCCCGGGGGGTCAGCGTGTCATTGGACACGGCTGATCACATGGTAAAAGGCTGCTGTGATTGGCCTTTTACCACATCACGTGATCAGCTGTGTCAACAGGAGAATGCGTTCTGGGAGGACGTCATATGACACCCTCCCAGAACTGGCCGGCCGCAGTGTAGCCGTCATTCGGCTATCTGCGGTTGGCAAGTAGTTAAAGAGACCCAGTTAACATACACTATATTGCCAAAACCTGGGACACCCCTCCAAATCATTGGATTCAGGTGTTCTAATCACCTCTTTTGCTGCAAAGGGTGGGACAACTCAATATTGAACCTTACGGACTACGGACTGGCCATACACTATACAATTTTCTTTAGAAAATTGCTTTAGATGTACCAAAAACCATATAATATGAGGTCAAACCTAAACAACACTTTCAATTGTATCCAATTAGGCAAGCCCTTGCAGTACACAGTTGAAGGTAAATCTAAAGAAAATTGGGCAGAAATTGGACAGAAAATTGTATAGTGTATGGCCAGCCTAAGACTGGGATGCCTTTATACTTCATGTGTGTGTAAAGGCAGGAGTCCCAATACTTTTGGCAATATAATGTACCTAAGTGTAATGTTAAGGGCCCAGTCACACCATGTGCATTACGATGTACTGAGTAGTGCTGCCCATGGCAGTTTCAATGCAAAGGCAATTTGCCTAATTTCTATTGTGTTGGTTCACACCATTGCACTGCAGTGGTATGCACTGGAAAAATGTAGTTCATGAAGCACTGTTTTCACCTTGGAAGAAACTACTGAATCCCAAAACTGCAGTGTGAATAGAATATAATGAAATGACATTTCAATAAAGCTCTAACAAAAAAAAAACAGTGAGATGTTCTGAAACCAGTGTTTTGGCACTGCGTCCTCCCAGCACATGCCAGCAGCAATACGATCAGTGTGCCTGCTGATGTGCATCCATTCCTAAAGTTGATGTATAAAACTGTATTTTTTATTGGTACTTATATAGCACCATTGATTTACACAGCACTTTACATATATTGTACATTCACATTAGTCCCTGTCATCAAGGAGTGTACAATCTAAGGTCCCTAACTTACATTCATACTAGGGCCAATTTAGATAGGAACCAATTAACCTATAAGCATGTTGTTGGAGTGTGGGAGGAAAGCCACACAGGCAGAACATGCAAACGCCAGGTAGGTAGTGCCACAGCTGGGACTTGAACCAACAACCCTCATGTTGCCAGGTGGAAGTGCTAACCACTAAGACACTGTGCTGCCCAGTTACTGTCGCCCCTATGAACATTTATTTAGTAAATGATCAGTTATAGACCGTGGAACAATTAGAGGAATCTGAAACTTCTAGGTGTTAGATTCTTTTTTTTTTCTGTTTGCTCATTGCTGCTTACATATGTGTCCTAATAAGGGTCTTCAGGAAGGTTACATCTACATACAGGGGTGTATTTCCCACAAGGCAAACAAGGCACTTGCCTAGGGCAGCATTTTTCAGGGGGAAGGCAGCACCTTCCCCCAGAAGAAGAAATGAAAGAAGGGCCATGTGCTCCATTAGAACCAGGTGGGATCTGAGAGAGGCTGTGGGCTGCTTAATGGTGTATGTAGAGCCTGACTCTCATTCCTGGGGATGTCCGGAAATGAAGATGAGTGGAAGCCTCTCCCAGGTGGGGAGCAGGGGTATTGTTGGGTTGGTGTTGGTCGGTGTCCATGGGGGCAGGCAATTTTTGTGTTGTCTAGGGCAGCACAAAACCTAAATACACCAATGACTACATAGTGAGGGAGGACAGGCAGAAGTGTGGAGGGGGCGCTGACCCATAATGCATTCCTTAATGACATGTGATCGCATTAGCCAATCAGCAGCCACAGGCAGCCAGCACTGTGTAATGGTCGAGCTATAAATAGCGGCCATTTTAGAATTCTTCATTTGCCTCCAGTCATTCAAGAGAGGCAGACCGCTCTGTATTAGGGACAGAGTTAGGGCCACAGAAACGTTACTTGGGGACAGAGAAACGTTACTTAGGGACAGAGAAGCATTACTCAGGGACACAGAATTGTTAATGAGGGCCACAGAATCGTTACTTAGGGCCAAAGAAACGCTAGTTAGGGCCACAGAATTGTTACTCAGGGACAGACAGAATTGTTACTGAGTGCCAGAGAATTGTTACTTAGGGCCACACAGAAACGTTAGTTAGGGCCACAGAATTGTTACTCAGGGACAGACACAGAATTGTTACTGAGGGCCACAGAACTGTTACTTAGGGCCACAGAAACGTTATTAGGGCCACAGAATTGTTACTCAGGGACAGACAGAATTGTTACTGAGTGCCAGAGAATTGTTACTTAGGGCCACAGAAACGTTAGTTAGGGCCACAGAATTGTTACTCAGGGACAGACACAGAATTGTTACTGAGGGCCACAGAACTGTTACTTAGGGCCACAGAAACGTTAGTTAGGGCCACAGAATTGTTACTCAGGGACAGACACAGAATTGTTACTGAGGGCCACAGAATTGTTACTTAGGGCCACAGAAACGTTAGTTAGGGGCCACAGAATTGTTACTCAGGGACAGACACAGAATTGTTACTGAGGGCACAGAGAATTGTTACTTAGGGCCACAGAATTGTTACTTAGGGCCACAGAATTGTTACTCAGGGGACAGACACAGAATTGTTACTTAGGGCCACAGAATTGTTACTTAGGGCACACAGAATTGTTACTCAGGGGACACAGAATTGTTACTGAGGGCCACAGAATTTGTTACTTAGGGCCACAGAAGAACAGAATTGTTACTCAGGGACAGACACAGAATTGTTACTGAGGGCCACAGAATTGTTACTTAGGGCCACAGAAACGTTACTCAGGGACACAGAATTGTTACTGAGGGCCACAGAACGTTACTTAGGGCCACAGAATTGTTACTCAGACACAGAATTGTTACTCACACAGAATTGTTACTCAGGGACACAGAATTGTTACTGAGGGCCACAGAATTGTTACTTAGGGCCACAGAAACGTTACTCAGGGACACAGAATTGTTACTGAGGGCCACAGAATTGTTACTTAGGGCCACAGAAATTGTTACTCAGGGACAGACACAGAATTGTTACTGAGGGGACACAGAATTGTTACTGAGGGCCACAGAATTGTTACTTAGGGCCACAGAATTGTTACTCAGGGACACAGAATTGTTATTGTTGAGGGCCACAGAATTGTTACTTAGGGCCACAGAATTGTTACTCAGGGACAGACACAGAATTGTTACTGAGGGACACAGAATTGTTACTGAGGGCCACAGAACCGTTACTTAGGGACACAGAATTGTTACTCAGGGACACAGAATTGTTACTGAGGGCCACAGAACCGTTACTTAGGGCCACAGAATTGTTACTCAGGGACAGACACAGAATTGTTACTGAGGGACACAGAATTGTTACTGAGGGCCACAGAAACGTTACTCAGGGACAAGAATTGTTACTGAGGGCCACAGAACCGTTACTTAGGGCCACAGAATTGTTACTCAGGGACACAGAATTGTTACTGAGGGCCACAGAACCGTTACTTAGGGCCACAGAATTGTTACTCAGGGACAGACACAGAATTGTTACTGAGGGACACACAGAATTGTTACTGAGGGCCACAGACGTTACTTAGGGCCACAGACACAAACGTTACTCAGGGACACAGAATTGTTACTGAGGGCCACAGAAACCGTTACTTAGGGGCCACATTGTTACTCAGGGACACAGAATTGTTACTGAGGGCCACAGAACCGTTACTTAGGGCCACAGAATTGTTACTCAGGGCCACAGAATTGTTACAGACACAGAATTGTTACTGAGGGACACAGAATTGTTACTGAGGGCCACAGAAACCGTTACTTAGGGCCACAGAAAACGTTAATCAGGGACACAGAATTGTTACTGAGGGCCACAGAACCGTTACTTACAGAACCGTTACTTAGGGCCACATAAACGTTAATCAGGGACACAGATTGTTACTGAGGGCCACAGAACCGTTACTTAGGGCCACAGAATTGTTACTCACAGGTTACAGGGACACAGAATTGTTACTGAGGGACACAGAATTGTTACTGAGGGCCACAGAACCGTTGTTTAGGGCCACAGAATTGTTAATCAGGGACACAGAATTGTTACTGAGGGCCACAGAACCGTTACTTAGGGCCACAGAATTGTTACTCAGGGACACTTAGGGACAGAATTGTTACTGAGGGACACAGAATTGTTACTGAGGGCCACAGAATTGTTACTGAGGGCCACAGAACGTTATTGTTACTAGGGCCACAGAATTGTTACTTAGGGACACAGAATTGTTACTGAGGGCCACAGAACCGTTACTTAGGGCCACAGAATTGTTACTTAGGGACACAGAATTGTTACTGAGGGCCACAGAAATTGTTACTTAGGGCCACAGAATTGTTACTTAGGGACACAGAATTGTTACTGAGGGACACAGAATTGTTACTGAGGGCCACAGAACGTTATTAGGCCACAGAATTGTTACTCTCAGGGACACAGACACAGAATTGTTACTCAGGGACACAGAATTGTTACTGAGGGCCACAGAATTGTTACTTAGGGCCACAGAAAATTGTTACTCAGGGACACAGAATTGTTACTGAGGGCCACAGAATTGTTACTTAGGGCCACACAGAACGTTACTCAGGGACACAGAATTGTTACTGAGGGACACAGAATTGTTACTGAGGGACACACAGAACGTTACTTAGGGCCACAGAAATTTACTGAGGCCACAGAATTGTTACAGGGCCACAGAATTGTTACTTAGGACAGGGACACAGAATTGTTACTTAGGGACACAGAATTGTTACTGAGGGCCACAGAATTGTTACTTAGGGCCACACAGAATTGTTACTTAGGGACACAGAATTGTTACTGAGGGCCACAGAATTGTTACTTAGGGCCACAGAATTGTT